TTTTTTTCAATTACTCTATGATTTTACTTTGGTATAAGATTTCTTATTTCATACAATAGTATTATATGATGTATTTATTTATTTTTAAATAAAAATAAATACATTAAATGATATAAAAAATAATTTTTATTTTAATACTACTTAGTTAATTGGCGAATTAATTAAATAATACTTCACATTTATAATTTGGTTCTTAATACAACATAATAATAATAATAATAATAATAATAATGGTTAAAAAAAAGGGTAGCCGTATAGCTTATAACATGTTGGAAAAATCCTTTTACTTGAAGAATAACAACATAGCATTCCATTCCATCAGAAATTGATTTGATGCAAGTGTGCCTGTGGATTTCGAGTATATTTTTGTTTTTTCATTCCAGATTCCGGAAACCTCTCTCTCCTCTATCTCAGTGTTGTGTTGAAATTGATCCTTCATTCATTCAAGGTAACAACAGATCTAGGGTTTTCATATCCCCAGAATTAAATTAGAATAGATCTTTACTAGTAAAAAAAACTTTCATTTTTTGTCTATTTGATTTTTGTATTTGTCCCATCATCCCCAAGTCGTCGATTTGCATTTTGCCATTGCTGAGGAAGTTGGGGTGATCAGTTGAGGTGATTAGTTTCAGAATTCTGCTTCTTGGAATGAATGGGAATGGGATACATCATTCATTCATTCATTCATTCTTAGCTGAGATCCTCAACTACTTGGATTGCGCCGTACCCAGCCCTCCCGGCCGCCCGTAGGTTTGTTTATTTTATGTGATTGATCCATCCAAATCGAGAAGGAAGTGAATAGAATAGAGAAGATGAATGAAAGCCAGAGGTTCCGGCTGGGGACCGTAGGTGCTTTGAGTTTGTCAGTCGTCTCCTCCGTCTCCATCGTTATATGCAACAAGGCGCTTATTAGCACTCTTGCTTTCACTTTCGGTAACTTTACCATCTCTTCCTTTCCTTATCATTATTAGTATGTATTCACTTTCTGTTATTTTCATTTCATTTCGATATGCCTAGCCATCTCCGATTGTTTTCATTTGATTTAATGCTTTGCTAGCAGATGATAAGATTCTTATGTAATGTTTTCCCTCAATTTTATTTTATATGTCTCATCTTTAGATTTAATGTAGTTTCAGTTAATTTAATTGAGGGTTTTCTTCCTTAACTCAACTCAACTCAATGTTGCTGCTACCAATCAAAATTATGATGAATACATTTTTGACTTCCCCAAATCCATCCCTGTATAAAATTTCATTCATCTCACATTATTTCTTGCCTTTCTACTAACTACTATTACTTCTCTCCCTGTGCTGCTGCTACTACTACTAACTAATGCTTTGGCTTGCACAGCCACCACTTTGACAAGCTGGCATCTTCTTGTCACATTTTGTTCACTTCATGTGGCATTATGGATGAAATTGTTTGAACACAAGCCTTTTGATGCAAGAGCTGTCATGGGATTTGGCATTTTGAATGGGATATCCATTGGCCTCTTGAATCTTAGCCTGGGTTTTAATTCTGTTGGTTTCTACCAGGTAAAGCCTTTACTTTTCACCTTCAGGCCCTACTTTTGGATCTCCTATTTATTATGTTTCATCTCTCTAATTCTTTCTCCCATTAGATGACAAAACTGGCAATCATTCCCTGCACTGTTCTTTTGGAGACCCTTTTCTTCAGGAAAAAATTCAGGTTAGTCCTAACAATCCTCATCAATCCTCATTTCTTAGTTTCTCTCACCTAATGCCCTTCATGCCTCAGTCATTCTGGCCCTCTGTGACCATACCTACTTGGAGGTTATCCAAGGGATTGAATTCTTTGAGGCTAGTCAAACTAATTTCCCTAGGAATCAATATTTGGTGCCAGTGCCATGGTTTAGGTTCTGAGCTGGCAAGTTTTCAAAACTGATTTAAGCCCTGCATGTGCATTATGGAAACATCCAAATTGTTCTCTTTCCCATTTAAGCTATATTTATGTTGCACTTATTGAGTTTGGAGAGATTAGCAGCCATACACACTAACATGTCCAGTTCAGGAGTATAATGACAAGCTCCTTCTTGCCTCCTTCCATTTGAAAGTTCTCAACTTGTTGCATTATTATTATTATTATTATTATTATTTTAATCTTATATATTGTTGGCTACATATGATTCTGCATTATATTTGATCTTCTGATAAGTAGTACTAAACATATCTAATCACGCTTGTAAGTTTAAATTTAAACCTGTCTGTGTCTCTGGTTGATGTCTTTGGTTATTAACATATGCGTGTGCTCGTAATTTTTTTTCTTAAATCTGCTGATGTATCTATTTTTCCATATGATTGTAACATCTTATTCTTCATTTACGAATTTTATCATGCATTTCCAATCCATTTATCATCCGTTTGTGGATTTTTTTTTAAGTTCTATCTACTATTTATTATGATTCAGTTGGTTATGGTTGCCTTTTGACGCATATTTACACTAGTGCAGTAGGAATATCCAGATTTCATTAGCTATCCTTCTTATGGGTGTTGGAATTGCAACTGTGACTGATCTTCAGCTCAATGTTTTGGGTTCCGTCTTATCTTTGCTGGCAGTTGTGACAACATGCGTAGCTCAAATTGTATCCTTTTATGAATTGACCTTTTTCTTTTCTTATTATTATTATTATTATTATTATTGTTTTTTTTTTTCCTTTGCTCAAACTATTCTAATATTGTATCCTTTGATGATTTTAAAATTTTTCTGTTTTGGTATATTTTTCTCCTATGCTTTGTAGAAACTTCCTTTTAGTGTTTAAACCTAAACCAGCTTCTGTCAGATGACCAATACCATCCAGAAGAAGTTCAAAGTCTCTTCTACCCAGCTTCTTTACCAGTCTTGCCCTTATCAAGCAATAACCTTGTTCATCATTGGGCCATTTCTTGATGGGCTTTTAACTAACAAAAATGTTTTTGCTTTCAAGTACACTCCCCAAGTGCTGGTGAGACGTAAATGTTTTGATTTCTCTACTTTCTTTTGCTTAGATTACCTGGTTTATTCTAATAATTACTTTTACACGAATCCATCTTGGTTTCAGTTTTTCATTGTTCTATCCTGCCTGATATCTGTCTCCGTCAACTTCAGTACATTTTTGGTAATTGGAAAGACATCTCCAGTCACCTATCAGGTCCTAGGACATCTGAAAACATGCCTTGTTTTGGCCTTTGGCTATGTTCTACTCCGTGATCCATTTAGTTGGCGCAACATTTTAGGAATTTTGATTGCTGTAATTGGAATGGTCCTTTATTCGTATTCTTGCAGCATTGAGAGCCAGCAACAGAAGGCTAGTGATGTCTCAGCACAATTGTCCCAGGTAGTTCCTGTTAAACTTGATAGGTTCTCTTTGCCCTACCGCTCATTTGATTATGCCTGTGTGCTTTGTTATATTATTTGCGTAATATTGAAAAGTACCTCCTTGATCCTGCATTACTTTCAGGTGAAGGAAAGTGAATCTGATCCTTTGATTAGTGTGGAAAACAGTCCTGGGATTTTGAGTGATGGTGTTGTTCAAAAAGCTCCTTTATGGAATTCAAATAAGGACCTTGAGGCATAAAACAACCTCAATTGCTATTTATTCATTTGCTGTGAATGGAAATTAAAAATCGAAACTGTTCCAGTGATGAAGATGTTGCTGGTAAGGGATGGCATGTATTGATTGCATACTGACAGTCAGGGAATTCTGAGATTAAAAAACTAGTTTCAAGAGTTGAAAGAAATGGCTGATTTTATACCAGCTTCGGATGGTAAGTTTGATATTGGCAATGGGATGGCTTGTAGTATGCCATAATATAATTTAAATTGTGAAAACTGATGCTGACTTTTCTTTGCTGTTATTTCCTTTTAGAGACATTTTATATTTTAGGAGAAGACATTGATAATAGTGAGAATTTATGTTTGTAGAATTGTGCTCTACTTTCGTTTCTCAGTCTCACCATGCATGTTCCCACATCCGAGTTTATGAGCTTTAACAAAAAAATAATAGAAATGTTAAATAAAAATTAAATTAGAGTGGTTTTAGC